AAAGAGTTACTGGCGCATTCTCACGTGAGTGTATATATCGACGTGGCACCGAATTACGTTTCCTCCTGTAATATATAATAATTGTAGGAGAATTTTCTCTTCCCCTCTCTTGGTGTATGTGACTTTTTAATGCACACGACGCGTCTCTATCTTTTTGCAGGAATACTCGCAAGAGGCGGTATCTCACGTGCATAAATATCTCATGAAAAATGAAGTCCCAGTTAACTTGTTCGAGGTAGGTCATTGTCTCGTGACCTTATCCGCGCGATTGCGCGTACATGATCGATATTGTTCGTGACTTACGAAACTTTTTCTATGTTTTTTTTTTTTTGTTTTGTTTGTAGCCGTACATCGAGGAAATATTTAACCATCTGCGAGGGGAGCCGTTTCAGAAATTTCTGGAAAGGTACAAATAACATCCTGAGCTCTCGCGAATAAAAATGAACCTGTACGTGACGTAACTTACGATTAAAAGAAAATTGTGTATGTTCTAGCGATAAGTACACCCGTTTCTGCCAGTGGAAAAACTTAGAGTTGAATATCCAGGTAAAGATTTGTCCCGTTTTTCTCGTCCTTTTTCAAGGACGGAATTTTCGAGATTAAATTATCGCACGTTTTATAACGGAAATTGCAGCTGACGATGAACGACTTCAGCGTGCATCGAATAATAGGTAGGGGCGGCTTCGGCGAGGTGTACGGTTGCCGGAAAGCGGACACGGGCAAGATGTATGCCATGAAATGCCTGGATAAAAAGCGCATTAAAATGAAGCAGGGTGAAACGTTAGCTCTCAACGAGAGGATAATGCTCTCGCTAGTCAGTACCGGGGTAAGGAACTTGTTTTTTTTCTCTCTTGTTGTAAAAAATGATGCCCTCGCGTTTAATCACGGTGATACGACGTGACATGATAAAGCGTTGTTATCACAGGTGGACTGCCCATTCATAGTGTGCATGACGTATGCGTTTCACACCGCCGACAAGCTGTGCTTTATATTGGATCTGATGAACGGCGGCGATCTGCATTACCACCTAAACCAACACGGAGTCTTCAACGAGCCGGAAGTGAAGTTCTACGCCGCGGAAATGATCCTCGGCCTCGAGCACATGCACCGCAGGTACATTGTCTACCGTGATCTGAAGCCCGCGAACATACTGCTGGACGAGCACGGACATGTCAGGATATCGGATCTGGGATTGGCATGTGATTTCTCAAAGAAGAAGCCGCACGCGAGTGTGTACGTACATGTAGCCCAAGTCCGATCGAACTTTTCAATCTATAACGCAACGATCTGAACTTGTTATTCTGTAATAGCGGCACCCACGGATACATGGCGCCGGAGGTACTCTCAAAGAACACCCCATACGATTCGAGTGCGGATTGGTTTTCCTTCGGTTGCGTGCTGTACAAGCTCTTGATAGGACGCAGTCCGTTCAGGCAACAAAATACCAAGGACAAACACGAAATAGATCGTATGACGCTAACCATGGTGCGTTGTTAAGATATTCTCGCTGGAAATTTCCCAGTCGCCGCGATCATATTTGTTTGTGACGATATGTCAAAAGTCAAAAATTTACATGAATCTTTTATGTATGTCGAAATAAATTACACCTTTGTATATATGCTGCCATTTGTGTTGATAGAATAGATCTGCGAAAAAATATCAAACTTTTTAGTGAGTTAATCGATAGCTGTTAATCTTTATAAGATTTCTTTTACTTCGGAAAAACAAGATTTACATTACTTTTTGATTATTTTTCTATTTACTAATAGAAGAATTATTAAAAACTAATTTATTTTTGTATACAGCATAGAAAAAATAAATGTAGTCTTTTTGCTTCTGATATCATAATCTGATGTGGATCGTAGTGATCGATCGGAAGATTCCAAGCGATTTCACAAAGATCTCTCGAGAAACTTAGACACACGACGATTCTCAACTTAATTTTTTTAATCAATTGCAGAACGTCGGAATACCGGAGACATTCTCGCGGGATTTGCAGTCGCTGTTGGAAGGTTTGCTACAACGGGACATCAACAACAGACTCGGCTGTTGTGGCAACGGCGCGGATGAGCTAAAGGCGCACCCGTTTTTCAGTGGTATCGATTGGCAGCAGGTGTACTTGCTAAAGTACACGCCGCCGTTAATACCGCCGCGCGGTGAGGTCAACGCCGCGGACGCCTTCGACATCGGATCCTTCGACGAGGAAGACACGAAAGGAATCAAGCTGACGGAAGCGGATCAAGACCTGTACAAAAACTTTCCTCTTGTCATCTCCGAAAGATGGCAGACTGAAGTGGCCGAGACTGTGTTCGAGACAATCAATAATGAAGCAGACAAGGTAAGATAAATATTTCATCTTATTGCCCATAATAACTTGATTATCGACTCTTTACTAACATAAAGATTTCACTTTGTTTCGTCCTCGTAGTTGGAAAATAAAAAGAAGGCGAAACAAAAACAGCGGTTTGATACAGATGAGAAAGGTAAGTGTGTCATACGTATCGCATGGATGCTCTAGAATCCGAATGGAATTGTAATCGGCATCGGTCATTTATACTTACAGGTTCAGACTGTATATTACACGGTTATATAAAGAAATTAGGAGGTCCATTCGCGAGCGCATGGCAGACGCGCTACGCGAAACTATATCCGAATCGGTTAGAGTTACATCCTGAATCAGCGACCAAGCCTGAGCTCGTGTTTCTCGATCAAGTAAGTACATACATCATGTTCCAAGGATGACAGAGTATATTAAAGGAGGTCAAAAAGTTAAATCGTGATCTTTTCAAAATATATAGTGATCCTGTTACTTAATGTGTGATATGATACGTTTCACATTTCACCTCGTTCGAGAAAAAGAGTAACTTACATTATGCAATATGAAACATTTTCAGGTTGAGGAAGTAGGAGCGGACTTACAGCTCGTAAAAGGGGAACAGTGCATTATAATGCGTACGAGGGACGCGAAAATCGTACTTACAAATGCCGTAAGTGAATCTTTCAGTGTCTCTATTGATGATATACTTTGCGATAAAATGCAACAATTAGAATTCAGACAAGTGACCTTAACTGTTCATGATCTAACTGTTCAAATAGTTCAAGGTGGAAACTTTCAAGTTTCAATGTTGGATAGTTCATACATTAATGAAAACTATTAATGAGGGCTAGAGCCTATTAATGAGTCTCGAAATGGAAGAGATTTAAGATTCTCAAGCAGAAAATTTGAATAACACGATCATTGAACAATTAGAACACTCGTAAGTTTTAAACGCTACTAATAATGATAATTGACTTGCCATAGGATGAGATAAGCTTGAAAGAGTGGGCGCTCTCGTTAAGATCGGCACACAAATGCTCAATGGAGATGCTCGGAAATATGGCGAGAAAAGCAGGCAAGATCTACGGGACTGAACGGGACGCAGTGATCCCGGCGACGCAGCGGTCCACGAACGGCAACTAGCCCATTGTCGTCATGTGCGACGTCGCACCGTCATACTCCAGTCCCACTGCCCCGCAGCAGCGACAGCAGCAACAACTTTTTTTATACTAAACGGATGATGGAGAGAGCAGCGATGGATGGGAGAAAGAAAAAGGATTTAAGAAGAGAGCGCGAGGAACGTTTCATAGAATGGCAACGCAGGTAGTGCCTCTTCCTTCCGAAGGCTTATTCTGGACTTTAACGCTACAGTGTTAAAAAAAAGTGAACAAATCCTTCTTTTGGCGCACCTCGATCAAACGGAACGTCCCAAAGAAAATTTCGTTATATGGCGGATAGCGCTGCGCTGTGTATTATAGAGACTCTAGCCAAGTAGTGTCGTACGTGCGTACGTTCTCCCAGGGCCATGAGGATTATGCGCGCGCGCCCATAAATACATACACATATTTACATACATATATACACGTACACCAAAAAAAACCATATGTACACGCAAGTAATCGCGGCTCCTTCTGGTCACTGGTGCGGGCGCGTAGGCATCTCGTTATATTTGTACATTAGTTGTATGTGCAACATGTGACATAGCGACTAGCGACCGACCGAGCGACGAACAAAAATTAACGGATAACACACGAAAAACACAAAACATACATCCGGTAGTGTATTATTATGACCTAGTACTCTCTACGCGATCCCGTACTCTTATTACTTTTTACGCGTTTTGTCGTACCGCTCGTTTACTTAATTTATTTACTAATGCAGAGAGAGAGAGAGAGACCAGTTTTATATTATCCTTATGATGAAACAAAAGTGACTCATTATTTATTGTGTTGTTAAGTGCGAAAGGATGAGAAAAAAAAGAGAGAAAACTCGTTTGTATATTAACCAAAAGTGAATCGAATACCGAATGCATGCAACATATGTACGCTCGAGTGGATATACGCGAGTCCGCTCTGGCAATAAAATATGCGATGAACGTAGATGAGAAGAGCTTTCTTTCGTCCTGCATCATGTATCAGTAGAGCAACGCTAAAGTCCAGTAAGTATTTGTGATCTCCATTACATCATGTTTTAAACAGATCGTAAATCTTTACGTAATCGTGATTGATGTGCGAAATTAACAAATGTTCGATTTAACAGTTGTACGAGAAAAGAATTACATATCAATGTCACGAATGAATTGGTCCATGGTCCATTTTTTATACCGTAACAATCGGAATTTGGTACATTTATGAAAGGTATAGATTTTATTTCAATAATCACGTTTATTGATCAAATGGTAGTAAATATCCTGTAACAGTTTTTCATTCGTGATTTACAAACGAATTAATACTCATAATTTATGTACGCGTGTTCGCTTCAAGTACCAAACTATTTAATATCCGCTGCACACTTTTCGTCGAGAATATACATATATATAGGGATCGTTTGTAGAACCGTGAAAAAGTTTTATTTTCTAGGCTTACATCATATGATTATAACGTATTAAACTCATCGTAAGATTTACACGATACGAACATTATAACTAGCGATCACTGTGATAAAAAAAAAAGAGAGTATGTATAATAAGAAACGTTATATTTTATCTATCACGAATCTCCTTCAACAATAACGTCAACGTGGAATCCACCGTTCCGGCTGACTTGAGTCTTCGTTCCAGAGCTTCGAAGTCCGTTCTTTCGAGCCACGTTGGCGGATCGCTCTCCCTCGACGGCAAAGGACACAGCAGCCTTTCGACAGCGGCGCACAATCCGCACCACTCCCTAAATCCCAGTGGTTGCGATACGTCTCCTGTCACAGACTTCATATAAGATCGTTGTTCGTCCGTTAATGCCTTGCCGACCACTTCCCGAAGAGCCTCTTCGACGTCGCTCGGTGAAATGCGTCGCGCGCTGTGCAACGCCTCTTCGTTAAACTTATTAAATATTCGACCGAATATCAGCTTTCTTCCCGACGTGATGTACGCATGCTTGCTGAGATACTGAAGCGACGTTAATCCTGTAACGATTACATCGTCATGAATGAATTCTAATCGATGAGATAAAATAGGTAAAAAAATATACGGCATATATATAATGTATCATAAGTTATAAAATACAAAAGTTTAAAAAAATAATAGCTTGCAGAAACGTCTTGTCTAATATCTTTTACTTATTTTAGTAGAATCACATTTTGAAATATCGATACACATTTGTATATCATACAAAATAATAATAATAATAATAATAATAATAGATATAAACATACCACGAAGACTCTGACTGTCGAGCAGTTCAAATCGCGCCGTTTGACGGGAGAATATCCGGGGAGCGTTTTCCACCGATGGACCAGCACTAGTTTGACGAGATCCGCGCGAGTACGTATCGCCTTTCACCCGCAACGCTTCCTCTAGTGCAATCCGTCTCTAAAACGAATTGATTTATAGACAAAATGTTTACTGGCTGAATTTAGATCTACCTGTTTACCTTGATTGAGAATTCCGTCTCCACCTTGTCACGATCTAGCTCTCTGCACAAGTGCTTCAAGACGTCTGGCGCGAGGAAACTCGGAGGCATCGTGTGACTCGTTGTCTGCGCGGGAGACGTTCTCTTGGGAGACGTCGAGGAGCCATCGACCTCGCCGGTGTTTACGTGAAGCCTGTTACGGTTCATTAAAGAGATCATTCTTTTTCTAAATGCTCAATCGACACTTCCCAGGTAGTCAAATGCTGTGAGTTTGCTGCCATGTTCCCAACAAATTAATGCATAACTAATTTTAACAAACTCGGGACAAGGTGAGACAGCATTACCCAGATAGCCAAGCGTGATAGAGCATATTGAGCAAAACTAATACATTGCATGTGTTTTCATATATTTGCTGTTGCTGACATCGAAATAGAACACGTTACAAATACAGCTACATGATTGCTTATAGATGCAATCAGTTGACGCAATTAGTTTGCTCAATCAATATGCTCTATCACGCTTGGCTATCTGGGGTATAAATAAACATATAGGATTATCGCATGCAGATGCGTATTTTTTTTGCGGATACTGACGACGATCGCCGTGATCCATCCCCGACCTGCGAGACCTGTGTCACCGTAGGCTCGAGCGGATCGCGAACTTCCGTTTGTTGGCCGTAAGTCGAATCCCTCCTACACTTTCTTTTACGCAATCGCTTTCCCCGTCTTCGTGTAATTGCCGGTTGCTGCTCGCTGTCGGCCTCTTCCTCCGCGTTTCGAGACGAGCTCTTTCACCGATAAGCGACGGTACAATTTTTTAAGTGACAGAAAATGTCCAACGAGAAAAAGGCGGCGCCATGTATCTGCCTCATCTAAGGAAAGAAATAGACTTACCGTTTCGCATTTTTCAGCGATAGGCGAGGGAGGTGACGGAGGAGGCGGCACAGGCACGGGTGCCGCTAACGATTGTTGTGGCCGGGAGATCGGTTTGCAGACAAATATCTCGCTTTTCCGAGGCGTAGGCGGCAGTTCCAGTGTGAGAGCGTGCCAGCTGAAAGTCTCATTTTCCTAAAACCCAGACAAACGGCTAATAACACCTTCGCGAACGAACTCAAATAAAGACAAACAAGAGTCGCTTCTAGCTTGATCGCCGCTCCAACATGTAGAAACGTTTAAGCATTCCTTCAGGATTACAGGATCTACTCATGGAATGTCTGCTCACAAACTACAATTCTACGGTGTGCTATTACATAAATTAGTTCGAATTTTGTTATATCCTACATCTAGTATTTCGTTTAGATTTCGTTATATTTTCATTCTCTTTGTATGCCTATCTTTATTAGTGTGCTTGTAGTGGATTTCTATATTATTTGAACTATAACAATTACTATTTTTAGGTCGCTTTATCGTTTCCTCTTTGACGGGGAAATTTGGAGCGCGCAATAAGCCAATCTGTCTACGGCAAAGGCCGGAAAAAAAGGTACCACCAGCGGCGATAAATCGGGGTAGAGATTCTGTATCTGACACCGACCACCTGCTGATTCTGCGAGCTCGTCCGGAGATCCAGGACCAGGGTGGTGCGCTCGCGCGGATTGCAGGTCACCGGCAAATCCTCCTGGGCCGGGCGGCCAGTTAACGCCGTTGGGCCGCTGGCGAGCGTGGGCGCCGGGGTCAAAGGTCGCGAATCGGTTTCCGTGTATTTCCGGAAGAGCTCCTCGGGCACCGCCGAAGCGGTCATCTCGGCATTGTAACCATCACCGCCGCCGCCGCCACCTCCGACATTTCCAGCCGTGGCCTCGCCTCCGCCTCCGCTTGCGCCCACTGCCAGCAGGCTCGTCCGTATCATCTCCATCTCCTCCGGCAGTAAAAGAGCTTTTCCCTCGGTCGCCTAATGAAAAATGTATCGTGAAAAAATGCGCGAGTGTCGCTGGGCGACACGCCGAAATTTGTGAGAAAGATGATAACAATTTTTCCAGTTTTTTCCCCCTATATATAGCCTTCGTAAAACGGTTGTTTACATTATAGCTCTATTACTCTGCATTAAGGTACAAAGTGGATGAGACATTGGAGTCTCGTATTACTACTGGGACTTTATTCCCTGTAAAAGAAATATGTATATAAAATTACTCGAACAGGAATTAAATGTGTTTACACATTTAAATTTTCAAATGTATAAAACAATGAATTTTACAATTAATTAGAGAAATTGCCATTTAAGGTCTTGTTAGGCTGGTAGCCTATAACAATAACGTTCTGTGAATTCATAGCAATTTAAAATGGCAATTTCTCTAATTAATTAAACATTACGTGTCCTGGTACAATGAACATATTTTACTCTTGTTTACGTAACTTTTGACATATATCTTGTACAGCGTCACATCCGTCTTTTCTATGTACGGCGGATGAAACTTTTTTACCCATGTGTCCTTAGCGCGTCGAACCACCTCCTTCGCCTCGCAATCCGCCGGATGGTTGCACAGCACCGAGCAGCCGTAAGGATAAGGATTAAAGAGGCCGGCGAACGGTCGAAGGGCGAACGGTGCTGCTCGGGTACAACCCGATAATTCCACGCTCTGGATATATATACGTGATCTTTGAATAAATAAGGACAGGGGCTGACGTAAAGGGATGAAGCCGAGCGCACGTGTGGCGCCCGCCTCGGTTTCGCTAATATAGCTTCTTTTCTTTTATCTTCACCTTGGGCTTCGGTCTGCGAATTGGTCGAATTCGCGCGGACAGGAGGCCGGTCGCGCTCGCCATCCCAGGCATTCCGTTCCGCGTTCGCGATGACGGGGTTTAATCTTTAGCACCTTGCGCGCAAACGAGCCGCCCCACGTCCGTTCGTTACTGCCTTGGTACCTTGGTACCACATCGGCACGTTGCTACGCGTGACCGATGGGTCGATCGCGGAGAAACTACGGCTCGCATTCGTGGTTACGCGATCACGTACTTGGCTTCCCTAGTATTATACCTAATACTTTACGCTACATCGACAATCAACTCCCCGTCTTCCCTGGAAACTTTAATTCCCCCCCCCCCCAAAAAAAAATGTCGATATATCCATACAAATCAGCGAGAAGCGTTTTATCGCGGAGATTGTAATATCGTTGCCGCAACATTAGAATGTCCGTCCTCAAGGAAATTGGAGAGTGGTGGTTGTTTAACAAATTTATTGCCTTTAAACAGTTTAAACGATACTTTCGCAATTTGTTTTCGTAATCTACAACAATGGCCATTTAGATCTTCATCTGCTCGTTCAGCCATGGATTCTCCTGCATGTGTCCGGGATACTTCTTCCTGTACTTGAGACCGGTCACGAGGGTGGAGCTTTTCGGGAACGCCGTTTTGCCGTTGAACATCGTGTCGGTATCTGAGATAGAGAGAGAAGAAAATTATCGCCGTTTAAGCGTCGTTAAAAAGTCGTTCGTAAAAGTACGCCGTTGTAAAAGCGGCGCGGCAAGTCTATAAATTCCGCGGGACGTCTCACCTGGATGGAATCGATGATAATCCTGTTGGATGTGCAAATTCTTGGGCAAATCTACTTTGCGCAGCGCTTCGTACGGCGTCGTGCTGCTAACCGGTGTTGAATAAAACCGCTTCAGGTCTCCTACGCATGCGAGATTCACATTTATTCATTGTCAATTGATCGATCCCTCGTGTCAGATTAGCGCGAAAAGTTCGTCGTTTCTCATAATCGAGCCTTGTATTAATAGGAAAAAAAAGTTAGAAAAGCCAAGTTTGAAAAGAAGATTGGAAGATGGATCTCTAAATAAATGAGAAAGAAAAAAGTTGGAAAGTTCGCCAATTTCGCCTCGATATTGCCAGGATTCTTTTCTACGATTGACAGATACGACGAACCTTTGACGCTTGCTTAATAAGGAGAAACTTTTTTTTTTTACGCTAACCGATACTCTCGATAGTGTAAAGCAGCGAGTTCGGAATGGAATGCTTAAATTCCCCCTCGCAGGCGACGAACAGTTTAAAGCGAAGGACAGGATCCTCGAGTTTCGTGCCGTCGTTTTGGGGGATGGTTTGACTCTCGCAGATTCTCTCGATCCTCTCGGCCGCATCTTCCGGGGGCTCGTAGGCCTTTTGCGGCCTTAGAAATCTGAAAGCAGGATAATTCTACATTCGCGACTCGATCGCGCCTCCTCGCGATCGTATTTAAAATTCGGCAACGCGAGATTTCTCGGTGTAAAGCAATTGTCGAATAATTTAGAGCCGTAAAATAATTCTCCTCGAATTTCTTATTCTTCGCGAATGATGTTTGGTACCTGTTGAAACGACAATCTCGTGAATCTCGAAATGAGGGATCCCTCATTGAGTAGGACGGAAAAGAGAGAAGGGGGGGGGTGAAGGAAGAGTTTTATTATTTGTGTCAACGAATGTCCTCGTCAATTCGACGATTTCCCATCCGCGAATCGTGACGTTTGTTCGGACTCGCGCCGAATTTTTCGCAGTCCGGGAAAGATCGCTCTCCCTATCTTTCTCGCGCGATGAAATTCGTCGTGACGCGCGAGAGGAAAGGACAAAGGACAAAGGTCCTGGGAGGGGGATGGGGGATGCGGAGGAAGGAGCGGGGAGGAGATCGATGCCCGTTCGCCATCCGGTGCTGCCACCGCGCGCGGCTCTCCCTCTCATTGGACGGCGGTGAAGATCGGCGCGTCCGGGTGCCCCGCGCCAAAACTCGCGAAACGACGCCGACACGGGCTCGCTTTCGTATAAACAATAATCAATAATCAATCTCTCCCCGTGTATCGCAGGCACCGCGCGGCGCCGATCGCGACCGCCTCTCCCCTAATGGGCGCGTCGACTCTCGAGGAGGATCGCTCTCGTCAGCGATCGTTTCGCATCTAGTCCGAAGAGTCACCTTTCGTCGATTAGTCTGCCTGTTAATTGCGAGAAGGGAAAGATTCGAACGGAGAGTCTTTCCCGCGATTTGATTTTCTCGCGTTCCCGGAGTCGACGAACTCGATATCGAACCGAATCGTTTTTTCCACTCTACGACTATTGTAGTTGCGACATTTCGCGTAGAAATAAATCTAGATATTCTCTCCCCCGACCCGTCCCCCTTCTCTGCCTACCGCCCTACCCGCCTATCTTCCGCTTTTGAAAAACTCGACGCCGATTCTCGCTCGGTTCTGATATTTAAAGGAAAAAACTCACGCGAGAGACACGAACGTAAAGAAACCTGACGACAAAAACACAAACAGAAATGTAAACAGCAGGCGACTCGACAATCGCGGTCGAGCATCATTTTCTTTACTCCTTTTTTTTTGTCGCGCTCCGACTTTAAGATAGGAGCGGAGCCAGCGGAGGTCGAACTTAAAAGTCGGAGCGGAGCGTCAGGAGCGTCAGGAGTGGTACTCACACAGTGGTACTTAATTTTTCGAAGGACGGCGACACCCGCGCGCCGACGAGACATCGCGGGTCAATATCACCGCGTGTCTAATCGGATTAATTAGAATAACGAAGGCAACCCAACGAAGATAACAATGTGGTCGATCAAGCGGACTTGGGCAGGAACTTCAATTGAAAAATAATCGTCTGTAACCGCGCGCGAAATCCGAGACATCGATAAAGTGAAATTCGTGGAAACAAAAATCGTTTACTTCTCAAACAGGATATTTGATTTTCAATATTTGTATAAATAATTAACCGCGTTCAAACAAAGGGGAATTCACATCGATGTGGAATAAAACATCATTAAAAGCTAACGGCGAACCCTAAGAACAAATCATTTTTGAATTGCAAATCCGACATTTCCAAAAGGGGAATTTGTCCTGTGAAAAAACACGTCGCCCCCTTTATTGACGAAACGTTCGATCCCATAATCCTCGGGTGATTAACCGAGATAAAAATTTTCCCATGGTTTGGCCCGCTCCGGGTTCGATCGATACCCTTGACATAGCTGCGGTCGCTCTTTTTGCAATAAGGTGTAGCGTCAGCTTGAAAGGTGTAATTTAGTGGATAAGATTGTATATATGGGAATCGGTTTACTTGGTGAAATCGATCAGCTACTTCATCGGGTATCGCGTCTCGTGGCAGACCGCTGAGATCAAGGCGACGGAGCGTCAGGAGGGGGGAAGGGGGAGGGAGAAGCGAGGACGCTTCGCGCACGGCCCTGAGGACCTGTCAGATTCGCCGGGCGATTGGCCGAGGCACGGGGGAGTGGTGGTAGGAACGGTTAATATGGCTGCGGTGCGGCCACCGTTAGTCAGGCAGCGCCGCGACGTAAGGCGAATTTCACCGTACGGGCCGTACGGCTACGGCTGCGCGACGCGAGGCGTTACGGAGTCGTGTCGGAGGCGAGCAGCGCGCGCTTACCCGCGGGCGGCGAGCGATTCCCCGGCGGAGTCGATCCGCGCCTTCACCACCACCCTGGTGGCCTTCCCTTGGCCGCTCTTGTGCCGGGCGATATCGCGACGCGTCGCCGCGGCCGTCGCGGTCACCTGCGAAAAATGAACGACGTCTCGTTAGTGACGCGCGTGCTGTCATCGCCCACGAGCAGCGGGTGACTCTCGCGCGCGCGCGCGCGCGTGCGTGCGGGACGCGAGTGGCGCGTGAAACGACGCCCGGGAGTGATGGAAGTGGTGCGCGTGGGTGTCCGGGTTATATCGTAACTCACTGACCGTGCCGGCGGCGAGGATAGCCGATGTACTCTTCAACGCGCTGGCGAACGAGCCATGCCTGATGAGCGCCGCCATCTTTTCCACGCTCGTTGTCGTCGTCGTCGTCGCCGTCGCGGTGTCAATAGCGGCAGCAGCAGCACCAGCACCGGCAGAAGCAGCAGCGGCAGCAGCGGTGGTGGCGGTGGTGGTGGAAGTGGTGCTGGTGGTGGTAGCGGCAGCGGCAGCAGCACCAGCGGCAACAGCGGCGGTAGCCGTCGACGGCAACTAGAACTGCGGCAGTGAGCGTTAGGGGGCGCACCCGGCAGTTGCGCTTGTTGTTTCCCATCCGCCGCCCGCCGCCATTTTACGGTCGCCATTGAGAAGTGAAAACCCTCCTAAATGTACGGGTCCGAGTGAATAAAGCCGCGGTGTTTGCCCGCCCGTAGCGCGAAATCCCCTCGTGCGTGCGGGGATAAAGATCGACGAACGGTGCCGCCGTTCGAGTGTTAGACTAAATGAGTGTACGGCGTACGATGGAGAAGCCATGACGCATCCGTCGCATCAAACCAACGGCGCCAGCCTGGAGGACTGCCACACGAATTTCTTCGCCCTGGTGAGTGATCGTTCGCGTGAGTGCGCTCGCGCTCGTTCGCGATTCCGCGTCCGATTCCCTCATCCCTGTTCCGATCCTGCCGATCGTCCCCCCGGGATTCGACGGTCGAATTTCCGCGAGATTCGAAACTTGGGCGAACGCGGAGGCGATCGCTGGAGAACGGGAGCGAGGGCCCCCCAAGGTGGCCGCCGCTCTGCCGCCGCCGCGCCGCCGGCATCCCGCGGCTCCGTACGTCACCCGTCGCGACGACGCGAAGACGCGAGGACGAGCGACCGAGCGAGCAATCGAATGAACGAATTTGTAAGAGCGAGAGAGAGAGAGAGAGCGTGTGCGTATGTACGCGTATGTGTGGGTACGGCGGACCACCGTCGCGCCCCGAACGTTAACCTATATTCGCCGCGGCGACGTCGCCGTGGCCGAATGTCTCATCCCCGTTTCGCCGTTGTTGACGTCGACATCAATGTCAACGTCAACATCGTCAATATCGTCATCGCCGTTGCTGTCGCTCGTGCTGCTGTTGTGTACCGTCGGAGTCCTTCCCCCCTCCCCGCCGCCCGTTGCTCCGCGGCGATCCCGTGCGTGCGACATACGCACGCACGTACGTACGTACCTACGTACGTGCGTACGTACGCGTGCATTAGTGAGATTTGAAGTTTTGTTGTGTCGAGCCAATGTCACGCCTGATTCACGTCAGCCGCCAAGTATTACGGTACGTTGTACGAGACGGAGAAAAAGAGAGTCGACGAGCGAACGTGCTTGCATGCGAGTGAGCGAGAAAGAGAGCGAGAGAGAGAGAGAGCAAGAGCAACGAGTGGGAAGTGCGAGGAAGGGGAGGAGAAGTGACCGCGAGAGAAGAGCGGAGAGAGGGCGAGAACACAAGCAAGCAGGCAGGCAGGCACGCCGTGTTCCGTAGTCTCGCTCTCTCTCCGTCTCCCTCTCGCTTTCTCTCTCTCTCTTTCTCGTCCTCGTAATATCGCGCTCGTACCTCCGAGTGCACACGGCGAGAGATACTCGATTCTCGGTATCGGTCGCACGGGGTCTTTTCCAACCGCGAAAATTCCGCGGAGAGAATCGCGTTCCCGCTTCCCGGACTCTTTTTCGCGAGCGCGCGAGAAGGAGAAGGAAACGGCGGCGGCGCGAGAATGGATAGCGGTGATCTCTCTTTCTCCTTCCCTCCCTCTCTCTCTCTCTCTCTTTCTCTCGTTTTCTTTCTCTCGCGTAACATTCCTTTCGCCTCAGCGACTTGTCGCGAGGGAGGCAACAACGTGCGGCGTCTCACGTCGCGTCGCGTCGCGTCGCGTCGCGCCGGCCGCCGTGGCATGAAAACTGTGTCAGGCGATTTTACGAAGTTCGCTCCTCCGCGCGTATAGCGCGACGAGGCGAGGCTTCGCCTCACCTCGCTATATACCGCCGTGTTCGCGTTTTCGGCGGCCGCGATTATTTCCGCGAAGACTTCGGAATCGCGAGATTGGAGCGCATGCGAGATTGGTTGTTACGCGTTCTATCTATCTACCTACCTGCCTGCCTGCGCGAGAGAAGGCCCTCTTCGCGCCTCTCTTCCCCTTCTTGTTTCAAGCGCTATCTGCGCTATCTCTTTCTTTCTAGCTCGCTCATTTCGCGCGCGCGTGTGCGTGCGTCTCACGTATACACGCGCCCGCACGCACTCGACGCACAGGCTTAACGGCGAGGCGGACGCATTTTTCTGCCGTTCGTTGCTGCATCTCGCGTTCCCACCAGAGTATAACTAAACGTCACTGCGAGCGGACGACGCGCTTTCGTTGTTTTCGGAGCGCGTCGCACCTTCGGCGCGTTACGATTTACATACGTTTTACGTTGCGATAGCTGTACGACAAAGTTGAGATCCTTTCGAGCGTTCGTTGAAACGGCGATTGGAAATGTCGCGAAAGAGGCCGCTCGGAGATTTTACAAATTTCGAAAGTAAAATAGTCTCACGTATATCTCTTGCCTAAAAGGTAGTTGACACAAAACAGATGACAGGTTGAAGGTACACAATGACCGGATACTTTTCTTTTCTCACTAGGGACATCTCGACCATTCATTTTTTTTCTCCAGAAACGTGCGAATTTGGAATATATCGTAAAGAATACATATCAATTTGCGAAATAGTAGATGAATTCAAGGACGTATATATAGATAAATGAAACACAAATATGAAATGTTGGCTGTAAAAGATAGAAAAATTTTTTTTGGATACGAGCTATTACAGAAACATTAATAAAAAATGTTATAGAAATAAATATATCGATATCAGAGATCAAAATATGAATATATGAAAAGTCGGAAAACTAGGCCAAAATAATGAAAAATGGAAACAGAACAAACAAGAATTTTTCTAATGACAATATTTAATAGGGTAAGGAGTAAGGAGGGGCTATTTGAATCAGTTAAAAAAAAATCAGACAAATTTTTAAAGAGAAGGGAGCTTTTTGTCTCGCTAATTTTTTATCCGATTTTTTTTTAACCGACTCAAATAATTCCTTACCCTACTTATGAAGATAACCTTCGATATAGACGCAAAATAATCGCCGATTAATATTAACATAATTTTATGAATTATCTGAACATAAACTTCGTACGAGGAATAGATAACGTCAACTTAAATCGTGCATATTATAAAATTATCGGAACTGAGAATTTTTTTTGTGAACGGTAGCAAATTTTTTATATTCGGTTTCGGGCGAAGAATTGTTATGAAACACACGAAAACACACACACTTTTTATATGTTACAACTTGCAATATGTCACTTGTCGCAGAATTTAACTACAAGACGATTTTTTCGCATGTAGTGCGACTCGATAAAACGAGCCGTTGAAAACATTTAGCGTGGAACCACTGATAAAGAAATTGCTCGATTCTTTTTGCGACGGGATTGTCGCGCGACACGTGCCCTATCATTCACTAACGGTTGATATTTGTTGTGCTCCGAAATCAACAGCGAGCTCGCGCGACGATTGCGTGTTTTCGAAAGGGAGGGAAAAAAAAGATATAGATACGTTCGCTCATTCGCATATTTCACATTCGCGAAATTTACGCCTGTAACATGTACATTTTTTACAATGTATAAATGTAAAAAGCCGACAGAGATCCGTTAGTTTTATGCGGATGCTCGGAGTTGCGCTTTAAACTGGCCGCGCGCCGTTTCATTGAAATTCCGACGAAGCGGCCGGGCTTTTGGAGCTTTATGAAAACCGCGCCGCGAGCTAATTCGGCCCGTCGGCGAAGCTGCGAATGTATTTTATTGGATTAAACGCGATATAAACACACACGAATTTATTTTAAAATCCAGCGAAGCTGTGTTTGATCGCAATGGTAGCGCAGCGGCTATTGACATCCCAATTATTTTCTTTATGCCGTGCGAACATGTGCATGAGAATTAACGATATTTAATTAGATGCCAGTCACAAACCAATGACTCGAATAATTATATGGATGAAAGGAGAAGCATTGTGAAGCTTTCGTTGACGGATAGATTGTGCATTAGCAAATTATTGCTATCGTGTAAACGTCCCTTCGGTCATAAGGTTTTACTTTCAATCGTATCTTTGTACATTCGGAAACTCGAAAGGATAATAAATTCACGTTTTCGTTTCTTCGACACAAATTAATTCGCGTGGATTCGTGGAACGCGTGCGGTCATATATACATATGCCGCCTAATTAATATTTACATACGAGTGTCAGAAATCGATTTGCATAAAGTCGCGACGCCGCGTTTCCGAGTAAAGGAGGCATAATTAGTCGATAATTTTTAGAGTTTGTTTAGAGCTGATTAGCATTCAATAAGAATTGTAATGTACGATCCACGTGTCGGGATTGATGCGTCACGATTATTTCCTCCGCTTTTATTCACGCGACATAAATATTTTTTCCCGGCGTCTTAAAGTAAACGGAAAACAACTGCATACATTACGGCACAGAGGAATGACGTAAGCGTATAGAGAGTGCGCGGTGATACGTATACGTAATCCCATTATTATTAGCGTCGTCAACTCTTAATTACTTAAGAGCCCGCAATTCTTTTCTCCGTAGGGTGTCATTTCAAAAGACTATTGTGTCCTTTCTGGAATAAAGCTGGCGTAAACGCCAGAATTGTCGAAAGAGACAAGCCTGACGATGCGAAACGTGTAACGATTAAGTTTAATTAAGACGACGTGTAACACCGGTGGATGATGTACACACGCGACTTACAAGTCTCGCGCGTACTTACCGTCAAACGTCGCGAAGGAATCGCTCGTAGCAGTTTTTGTGCCTACGGTGGCGTGTATTCGCGGTAAATAAAACTCGAACACGGTGTGGGGCACGTAAGAATATTCTCACACAGTGGTACTCAAATTTTACGGGGTACAGCGACACTCGCGCGCCGACGAGACATCGCGGGTCAATATCACCGCGTGTCTAATCGGATTAATTAGAATAACGGAGGCAATCCAACGAAGATAACAATGTGGTCGATCAAGTGGACTTGGGCGGGAACTTTAATTGAAAAATAATCGTCTGTAACCGCACGCGAGACATCGATAAAGTGAAATTCGTGGAAACAAAAATTGTT